TACTCTGTGTAATACCATAATGATAGATACATGTCATTATACATGTTTCCAAATCCACAGAATGCACAACCCCGCGTGACCCCAAATGCGAGCTATGGACTTTATAGATGATGATAATCCACTAATGTACATTTGATGGGGAACTCAAGAAGTCAAAAAATGTTAGCTTCAGTTATGCAGTGAATAGGCTTGGTAATCAATGTATGTAGAAAGCTACTGTTCCAGGGACCGGAATGTATGGCTGGAACTGCCCTGACTTCAGGAGATCTACCAGCAATTCGCTCTTTGTGCCCCAGGAGGACTGCAGGCCACCAAGAAGGTACCGAGCCTCGGTGCTCCAGGGACAGAACGTCCTCCACCCAGGACGCAGATAAAAGAATCACTGAGCAGCAAAGAAGGGATGCTCGGAAAATCACTGAACTGCAGTTTTTATCTGATTAACTGTTTTGTCTAAATTCCAAACCCCTTAACTACTTTCTCCTGAATTCCAAACCCTTTACCTATACTTTTCTTCTCCTTACAAAGGGGATCGGCTTGAGACGAGATGTAAGATGGTCTTTTTAAGGTACATAACCCACTGTCTTCTCTAATCGCCGGCCATCTGAATAAAGTGTCCATAAAGATTCGATCCTTGTCTCTACTTAATGGTTCTGGTAGTGACAGGCAGCATGAACATTGACTTTTCTGTGTTCAGGTTGATCCACTGTTATAAATGTACAACTCTAACTGGGGATGCTGATAATGGGGGAGACTATGTATGTGTGGGGCCAGGGGGTATATAGAAAGTCTCTGTACCTGCCTCTCAATTTGCTGTGAAAAAAAGTCTTAGAAGCACCAAAAAAAGGTTGTCTGTGTTCCCTGTTCCTACTTGCTCTCATTGTTCCCATCACCTAAACCTGCTAGTCCAGAGGTCCCCAGTAGCACGGTTGCTACTTCCTGTGGATGTACTTTAGCTCTCGTCCTACTTGACCACTAGGCGCCCTCCTGACCAGTCCCTCCTCCTTGCAGCCTCTCTACGTGGGCTTGCAAACACCATTTGCTATCTACCTCTACCCTACCTCTCCACTCACCCTTTTCTCCTCCCTCGGTTCTTCCTCTGCTCATCTCCTAAATCCTGGAGCTCTCCAGTGTCTGTCCTGCTCCCTTCTCTCTTCTCCCTCAACAGCTCATTCATTTTCATGGCTACAATGTGCTGGTGACTCCCAAATCTAGATCTTCTGCCCTAGAATCTCTCCTCTGCTCCACTGCCAATTTTCAACTGCCAGTTAGACAACTATACTCCTACACTCCACAGGTACACAGAATATATTGAACACTGAGAGCAATCTCTTTCTCCTACTCCCCAACTCCAGGAATGGCAATGCAGTCCTCAACCAGAAATCTGCGTGTCATCCCCACCTGTCTCCCCTCTGACCTCTGTCATCGAGTTCTGTCCACTCTGACACTCAATCACCTCCACTGTTCTTCTCCCCCTGTCACTACGTAGTCCAGGCCACCCTCAAACTGCTCTTGACACTGCGGGGACTCCTAATTCTTCACCCTGCTTCTGGCCAGGATCCACCAATAGCGCCCCTCCTGAGATGCACTCCAAACTCCTAAATATGACTTAAGGCCATCAGTACCAGCCACCGTCTGTCTCTCCACCTCTTGCCACTTCCTCCCAGCATTCTGTGCTCCAACCAGGCTAATGTTCTTTACATTCCTGTTGCGTGCCAAACTTCCCCCCTTTCTGGCCTTTGCACACACTGTTCCCTCTGCCTAGAACACCATCCCCTAGGACACTCCTCTTCTTCAGGCTAAACCCGACCACCTTCAGTTCTCAGATTAAATACCAGTTCTGGAAAGCCTTCCCTTGACCCCCACCTTCCTGCAAACTAGGCTCGATGCACCTGTCTGTGGTAGCACGTGCTCCTCATCAGAGCATTATCACATGTATCTTTATTGTTCATCACTTTATGTCTTTCCTGCTAGACCCCAAGTTCCTTGAGGGCAAGGCTTCTGCATCCTGCCAACCACAGTAACCTGGAGCCTGGCAGAAGGCTTTGGCAGAGAGAAGCTGGGTAAAGTAATTCAGTGTTATAGGGAAAGCTTCATCTAACCCCTCCCCTGTGAAAACACCTTATCCTCGTCTCACTAAGGAAGAAATCACAGCAATCAGAGAAGCCAAATACAAGGCAGGGAGGGACTGGCATCCAGGTGTTCTTTCCAAGCCCCTGGTTTTCCAAAGCTACAGACTTCTTTTGTACAGCAAAGAGAATCTTACTTTTAACTTACATTTTAACTCACCCCAGAGGAAGGAGTAGCAATTGACGATAAGATTTAATGAACATACCACTGTAGCAAAGCACCCAGAAACATTAAATGTTACCGCAGCAAGTTCCAAATCCTACAGTCCTCCCAGGTGATTCTTGGGAAAATTTCTCTAGATTCATTATTCTGCCTTGATCACCCTTCATTTAATTCACTTTCAGGTCATCAGATGTTCTCATCAAAGTAAGAAAAATCACAGGGATCAATGATGCAACTGCCCATAAAGAGAATAAAGGCAAGGTGCGGCCTGCTCCAGCCAGCAGAATCCCAGTGTGCAGAACAATCACTACACATTCTAATCACCACAGAGCCAAGGAGTCTGGAGAAATTATATATATAACATTGCATTTTAAAGAAAAGGTTCTAGCACTGTTTGCAAAGACATAGCTGCAACAGAAAACACATTCTGAAATAACTTTAAATGCAAAACTTAAGAGACAGTGCACATATAAGCAAATTTGGAATGACCAATATGATCTGGTGCTACACACGTGTATGCTTGTTTGGGGTACATCAATCATATTTTAGTTTTAATGTCAGTGTCTGTTTTTCTTGGAACAAAAATGTAAACATGCAGTAACAGAATTTTTTTTACAATAAAATTTGTCATCTCTACTTTTTTGGTCCCCATTAAATATGTACAGGAAGTGAAAGGGGGTCTATATTATCAAACATTATTGTTATGGGATTTAGATAGAAGTTGACTGAATCAATCATTGACATGGAAAATAAACGGCATCACAACCCAAGGTGAGATATTCTTCTGGAAATCGCACTCACTGAAATGCATGGCCACATCTCGAACTGATCTAGGCAGGAGTCCGCAGTCCAAAGCCTATGCCCAGACATTTCTTGTCCTTGGAATCAATCTTCTACCGAGGAATCTTTTCCAATGTTTACGTTCGATATCTAGGCTTGTCTTTTTGAGTATCAGAACCCAAATGTGTCACTTCGGGTACAGGACTCCCACCTCCAGCCCCACCCCACCTCCTCTGCCTTCTCAGCCCCGTTACACAGCTCTCTTCCTGACAACTAAGCAAGCCATCACACCGCTGTTCCCGTCCTCCCTTTCTAGCCAGGACTTGAACTTCCACGTGTCCAGGCACTCACATTCTCTCACTAAGCCCACCTCACTTCCTGGGATATAAGTCCCAAAAGTCTGACCCTGAACCCTTTTGACACTGATGGTCAAGTCCCTCTATCCACGTATAAACGTAACTCGAACTCTACGTCTGGGAAAATTATGCTCCTCTCCATCCCCCTGTTTTGGACACACATAAGTAACACAGTCAGAGTGGGTAACTGGAACATGTGTTTAATTTGAGGCAAAATGTTCTCCAAACCTGTCTTCTTCATATAGATTTTATAAAACACCTTTGTACACAAGCAAATTGTCTGAATTGCCTATCTGTCTTGCAAAATTACATGGATAATATTAAAGTCTTCCTTTGAGAACACCCTAGACACTGTTATCTACTGTTTACGAAGTTTTTGCGTGAACTTCCAGACGTTATAACCTTTACTCGAGACCACAGCGCAGCCTGCGAATCCGAGACCAGCACACATTTGGATTCCGACAGTTCCCTTGTAGGGTGCTGTGTAAGACCCCTCCAGCAGCAGCATCTTCAGCCTCGTTTCCCCCACAGCTTCCCTATGCCTTGACTTCCCAGCTCAGGTGCCCACATCCTGCGTGAGCCCGGCAGGCTGGGGATCACCTGTGCTGTTCCTCTCCTCCCTTTCAAGTCAGGACCCTCTACCTGGAGGGCTGGAGAAACCTAACCGGAACAGATTCTGCTGAGACAGAACTCGTGCGTGAGATAAGACTTTCTGTTCCTTAACTATTCAGCGCTCAAGCTCACATTGCAGCCTTCCTCACAGAGCAGCTGCCAATACTTCTGGCTCCTTCCCTGGGGCTCCCTGCCAGGGAATTTTCCTCACTGGGTCCTGAAAATATCACTTCCTTGTGCTGTGTCCTCCTCTCGCAAATGCAAGGCCACTCGGACTTTCTACAAGTCGCAGTTGTACCTACTTCATTTCTTCGGGATGAATGCTACACCGACTGGTGACTGAGCACAGCCCTGGGCAGCACACCCTCAGTGGCCCCATTACCAGCCGTCTTCAGCACCCATTACCTCCCTGCGCTTAAGCCGAAGAAATGGATCCCAAGTGGACTGATATGTGTTCTGCTAACTTTTCCACCAGAATGTCCGGGTCCCTAGTCCACTTTCCAAATGTGCAGCAGCGCTGGGATTTGACAGTAAGGGACTGAGAACAGAGGGGGGGTTTACCACTCTTCGCCAGTTTGCCTTGAGAGGTTCCCAAAGAGGTGAGGGAAAACGGGGGAAGGTTGGAAACAATGCAGATATTAACCATCCTTCTGGTACCCTTCAGACCCAAACTGTAGGAGAGGATATCAGAAACTGCCCTGTTTCTGCAGAAGCACCGCGAGTCCAGTTCCTGACAGGTGAACTCCTGGGTCCAAGACCTTGTCTTCCCAACCGCTAGTGACACCAGGGAGGAAGGAATAAAGATCGAGTACAGACAGAACATAGAAGAGAAGCCCAAATAACAAAGCATTCTTGTCTTCCCATGTCACCTGAAAGGGGCTAGCAAGCCTTGGCCGAAGCGGCCGGGCCGCGTCCCCTCCCGCCCCGCCGAGCGCCCAGCGCCCCCCGGGCGCGCCTTCTTACCTTGCGGGAGTACGGGGGCTTGCTCAGGTGGATGCTGTCGCGGACCAGCTTGTCCCTGATCATGATCTTCAGCTTCAGCTTGGGGTAGCTCACCAGCTCCCTGCCGCGGGGGACGGCCGTGTGGCCGCGGGGGTCCCCGCGGGTGCCCTGGGCCGGGCCGCCGCACGGCTCCCCCCGGCGGCCGGTGGGGAGGGCCGCGGCGGGCGGCGCGGGCGGCGCGGGCTGCGGCTCCAGCGTGAAGTAGAGGCCGGCGGCGGCGGCGTCCTGCTCCCGCAGCCGGCGCACGGCCTCCAGGATGCGGCGGCGGTGCGCGGGCGCCAGCACCCCGATGGCGTCCAGGTCCGGGTCCCCGATCTGCTTGCACACCTCCAGGTCATCGTAGCCGTTGTCCACGAAGGACTCCGCGTACTGCGGGAGCTGCAGCGCTTTCAGCCACTCGTAAACTATGTTGGTGCACATGGTGCGACTGGGGCCCCGCCGGCAAACGCGTCCCAGCGCCCGCGAGGCACGGGCGGCACCAGTTCTTGGAACTTTTAATCCTCTCCTCTGCGGGGAGAGGGGAACGGCAGGAAAGTTTTCCTTGGAAAAGAAGGCTAGGGCCGGATTCGGGGCGCCATCAGCGGAATCCCGAGGACGGCGGAGCGGCAAAGTGGATTCCCCACGCAGCCGGCAGCTCCCAGGCTCTGGGGTTGGGCGAGCCGCTCCGCGCCGCCCCTGGAAGCGCGGCCGCCGCCACCGCCGCCGCGGGGAGGAGCGCGCGGCGGACGCCGCGGACGCGGGAGTGGGCGGAGGCGGGCGGGGCCGCGGCACACCCCTCGCGCCCGCGCGGGTCAGCGGCACGCGGTGCCGCCCCGGAGTTGCCCCAGCGCGGGCCGTCCCGGGGCTGCGCGGCGCATCCCGTTTGTGGCGGCCGCCGCCGGCGTCTGAACGCGCGCCCCACGCCGGGGAGGAGGCTCCTCCGCGCAGCCCCGCGGCAGCCCGAGCGCCTCGTCTTCGCGAGTGCGTGTCACTGTCGTCCTCCTGGTGGGGGGCGGGTGTCTTCTAAACGGCCAGGCTCCGGCGGCTGCTTGGATCGCTGTTCATACTTCTTTTTAATCCGATTTCTGTAGCCCATGGAAATCTCTGCGCTCACTTCTGCCCTAGCCTCCCCGACTCCAGCCTGAGCGCTCGCGGGCTGCCCAAGGGCACGTCCTGCCCACCCCACCTGGCGGGGCGAGGCTGTGAGGTCAAGTTCCCTTCTTCTTTCCCAATCCGCGTTGGATCCCCCTTCCTGGGAGCCTGCACGCAGGCCGGAGCCCGGAGGTCTGGCTGCTTCCGTGGACGGCCGCGCAGTGCCCGGAGCGGCAGCGCTCTGGCCCCGCGGGTGGGGGCGACGCGTCCAGCCGGCGCTGCGTGAGGCCCCTCCTCGCTGCAGCTGGGCCCGCTGGTTGGCGAGAGTAGCCGGTGCTTCTGCCTGGCTCTCCCCTGCTAGGCCCCCGGTCTGCGAAAGTTTGGGATGGATTATACTGTCCCCTCGGCTGGCATTCCGCACGCCCCCGCCACACTTTCCGCCGGGTCCTCCTATCCCAGTCTCCGCAGTGCTTTATCTCGGGTCCCTCCACCCTACATTCTGCCCAAGCGCCCCGCTGACTCTGCCCCCAGGGACACTTCGAGGCATTCAGTCCTGGAGCCCGGGCATAAATTTCTTTCCTCCTGCCCCTGGGGTACGTGGACCTGGATACCCCACCACCCTGCTCGCGTTACAGGGGACGCTCGGGCATCTCCGCCCGGCACTTTCTCTCTGGGGAATAGCAAAGTCATCACGCCCAAAGCCTGAGCAAGCACCTGGGGGTGGGGACGGGAGCTGCAGGTGGAACAGACCCAGCACCTCTCGTAAATTTCCCTAAGCATCTGACCTCTTTTGAGGACTAAGAGAATTTTGGTCGAGGTACTGGGTTAGGCAGGTTCACTGCCTCCTTCCTTTTCGCAGAAGGGCCATTCAACTTCGCACCTGAGCCATTTCAGGATCTGAACTGGACTTTTCCTGAAGTCGTCCACGTGGAACGTGCCAGTCGCCTGTCTAGCCCGACCTTGGAGGTGGACAAATGATGATTTCAGAGTCTTTTCCATACTGCGCATGTGGCCCTTGGCGGGAGGGGGGGGGGGGCGGAGGTCCTTCTTTCCCTAAATCAGAAGAGCTTAACCCTTTGGGGGCACAGACCCCTTAAAGATAGAACAACTTTGGTCCTTTTGTCCAGGACAATAGCAGACATAGGTGCACCACAGATATTCCCTACAGTTCCAGTGGCATGGAGTGGGAGGGTTGGGGGTGGCAGTGGGGGCTGCCTGGGCCCCCAAGCCAAATTAAGAACGGCTGGCAGAAGGAACCTGGTTGTGTGGAGGGCGGGGACGAGGGCAAAAAGCTGTGGGGCTACTGTAGACCCCCCCTCTTCCCTCGCCTAGTCACCCAGGCCACCCCTTCGGAACCGAGCGAGGGTCTCTGGCCCTGGTAGATTGTTTCTCGCGCGCTCAGAGGCTGGGATCACCCAGACCTCTCCGCCCGAACAGCTCCCGCCTCTCCTCGGCCAAAGCAGACTCACAGTGCCCCCTCGCGCTCATGCAGGCGAATTTTAAAAGGCGTTGTCCAAGAACCCCCAAACTCTTCACTGTCCAAGGATGTGAACTTCAATGCATAACATTAGTCCCCCCCTTCTTTTTTTAGTGTTTTTAGTTGAATTTATTGGGGTGACATTGGTTCACAAGACCATACAGGTTTCAAGTGCACAACTCAATGGAACATCATCGGCCCACTGCATCGTGTGCCCATGCCCCAAGCAAAGTCTTTCTGTCCCCATTGCATTTCCCCCCCTTTGCTCACCCCGCTTTCCCTCTGGCTGTCAGGACACTGACACTCACTCCCAACCCTCCTCCCTTCTGACAGCTGTCATCTGTTCCATGTATCCATGCCTCTGTTTCTACTTTATTCTTTAGATCCATGTATAATAGGACTACATAAAACTAAAATGTTTTTGTACAGCAAAAGAAACCATCAATAAAATGAAAAGGGAACCCGCTGGATGGGAGCACATATTTGCCAATGATACATCTGATAAGAGGTTAATCTCCAAAATATACAAAGAATTTATACTACGCAACACCAAGAAGACAACCCAATTTAAAAATGGACAAATAGGCCCGGCCTGTATCGCAGTGGTTGAGCATCGACCCATGCATCAAGAGGTAGCCAGTTCGATTCCTGGTCAGGGCACATGCCCAGATTGTGGGCCAAATCCCCAGTGGGGGCATGCAGGAAGCAGCCAGTTGATGTTCTCTCTCATTGATGTTTCTATCTCTCTCTCCCTCTCCCTTCCTCTCTCTCTCAAATCAATAAAGAAATAAAGATATTTTTAAAAAATGGACAAATGTACATTTCTCCAAAGAGGACATAAAGATGACCAGTGGGGAATCATAATCCACCCCACCATTCTTTTGACATTGTTTCTGTAAACGCTGATTCTAGTATGTGTCTTGTAGATAAACAGCATGCTTGGGTAAGAATCTTAGAACAAACTTTAGAAGACACAGACCTCACGTCTGTCAAATTGGCTGTCATCAGTAAGCCCTTCCCACCTTTTCAAATGTGGAGGTTTACATCTCATTTACCCTTATACGTCAATGCTCTCTCATAAGAACCTTTCATTTTTAGGAGGAAAATATACCAGTAGCTTGAATCGTGCTGCTAAAAACAGAAGACATAGCAGATATTTATTTGGAATTTACTATATGTTAGATGTCTATACATCTTTCTCTCTCCATATATAGGGCATGTAGTAGTATTGTCCAGTATCTTACAGAATAACAAATTGAGGCACCAAAACGTAAAGTTGCCCTCATGTTGTCACTGTTCACGGTGGACCCAGGGCTGGAACTCTGGAGGAATAACTGCAGTGCCTGTCTTGCAGCTGCTAACCCCCGTCCCCAGTGTGTACTGTGCACATGCCAGAGAAATGGGGCTGGGCTGGCTGTAAGAGGGACTCCTTTTTTTTTTAGACTACGAAACTTAAAGCTCCAGGTTTTAGTTTTGCATTGTTTTCTTTCCCGAGATGTACGAAATGTCCAATAGTGCTATTTCACAGGTCTTAGCTTGCTTATATACAGGCTTTTCCCCTTTGGGAGCTTAGATCTTCACCCTATCTCATTAATCCTCAGTTGAGGCAGCACGTATTTTTATTTCCATTTTATAATTAGGGGAACTGGTTTGGGGAAAGATGAATGACATGCCCAAGGTCACACAGTAAATCAAGACAGAGAGGAGAACTAACCTGCCATATCCAAGTGTCTCCCCAACAGGCAGCACTGATTCTCCATTATTTATGTGCAATGTCACTATCCAATTAGGAAATAAAGCATCCTGGTGCTCTCTTTGGAAGCCTTTTATAAATTCATCAGTTGTTAATCAGTCATAAATAAAACTCAGTCACTGCTATCAGGAGACTTCATTGGTGCGAACTCTGGAAACACTCAGTTCTGTCTCCTGCCTTTGCTCAAGCCCTCAGACTTCTCTCTTTCTGCGGCTTGCCTTCACATAGTGAAACGTTTTTCATAGACTTGGCGCTTGGGGCTACTGCATGCAGTCACTTGAGAAGGTAGAAGTTTTTTTTGTTTTGTTTTGGTACGTGCCCCTAGGGGAACAGAACCCGGGACTCTCTGGTCCGCAGGCCGACGCTCCAACCGCTGAGCCAAACCAGCTGGGGCGAGAATGTAGAGGTTTTATAGCCTAAATGTGTCTCTACCCATGGCTAAAGTCCAAAGTAAAACTGGCAAGGACACTTGGCTAATTTTAAGATTCAGAACTAGTTTTAGAGCTGGAAGGCCATTTGAGATCGGCTCAAGCATCCGCCTTATGTGGAGGAAGTCAAGGCTCAGGAAGGTCCAGGTATTTACCTAAAAGTCACACAGCTAGTTCATGACAGAACGGGGACAATAACCCCGATCAGCTTGCTCATTTGCTCTTCACAGCGCACTGCATTACCTCATTCCTGCTGTCAGTGCCCGGCTACTGTCAAAATCACTCATTTACTCATCAAATGTTTATTAAGTAGGCACTTCAGTACCAGGCACTGAAGCAAAAAGTTTTTCTTCATTAATTGGAACTGGAGAAAGCTCGGCACTTTAAATACGTACAGAATAAACGGATTGTTTTATGTCAGTTCATGAATGAGGAAGATTACAAAGGTGATATTTTCTTCCATCTTTAATTATCCAAATGCTGTGAACCATAACATTAGGCAAAATTTATAATTAGACTATAATTTACATCCAAAGTGTACTTTAAAAAACAAGTGGTGCCCTGGCCAGTGTGGCTCAGTTGGTTGAGTGTTGTCCCATGTGGGGGAAGGTGTCCCATGCCAGGGAAGGTCTCAGATTGGATTCCAGGTCAGGGCAGATCCCCAGGCTCCGTCTCCAGTAGGGGGCGTGCCTAGGGCAGTAACTGATTCATGTTTCTCTATCACTAATGTTTCTCTCTCCCTCTTCCTTCTTTCTCTCTATTAAAAAACCCTGAAAATCAAAAAATAAATAAATAAAAAATAAAAGCAAGTTGCTATTGTACTCCTTGGCACAGCCTTAAAACACAGATGAATTTA